TCAATTTCGTGGGGAGGATGTTGCTGCTGGTTACTACATGCGCCCTGATCCGACCTTAGCTCAAGCTTACCGACATGTACCAGTGGAAACTCCACGTACCGTCGCTACGGCTGAGAATATTGTTGTGGCCACCAATTTGACCCAACAAGCTCAAAATTGGAGCTCGCTCGGTTGGTCTGATTCGATTAGCAGAGAGTTCGCTGCTGGATATCGCAATTGCCCAGACTACGGAGATCGTTTTAAGCATCCGGAACAACCAATTGTCAAACAAAATGGTTTACTTTTCCGCAAGTATCAGACGATGATGCGCTTGTGTGCTCCGTTTACTCGGGACAATCATCTTCGAACCTCCATCATCTCTTGCTTCCATGACTCCAATATTGCTGCTCATCCTGGAGCTCATCGAGCGTACCTTCGCATTTCGCAATGGTATCATTGGCCCACCTTAGACCAAGATGTTCGCGATTATGTGCAAAGTTGTGAAACTTGCACTCGCTGGAAACACAGCAATGCTCGCAAGAATGGCAAGATGATTCCCATTCCGATTCCTGAGGAATGCTGGTCTGTCGTCTTTATGGACTTTATCACTGGATTACCTGATTCCAATGGTTTTGATGCAATCTTGACTGTTGTCGACAAGTTGTCCAAGCGCCCGAAGTATCGTGCGTGCAACCGGACTGATGATGCACAGATGACTGCGTATCACTTCTTTGATTGCGTTGTTCGCCATATCGATCATCATCAGCGATCGAGATTCCAAGTTCGTCTCCAAGTTCTGGTCATCCTTGGCTAAGCTAATGGGAATTCGTCTGCACATTACAACTTCCTATCGTGCCCAAGCCGATGGACAAACCGAACGCCAGAATCTGATTCTGGAAGACGCTCTACGCTGCATGATATCGTACCACGGACGTGATTGGTCGGATAATCTCGGAACGATTGAGTATGCTCATGCTACTCTCGTCAGCGCATCTACCGGTATGTCGCCCTTTGAAGTTGATACTGGACGCAAGGAACGAAATCCGTTGATTCCTTTGAGCAATCCCAGTACCATGACTCAAATTCAGCGTGGAATTGTTGAATATGCGAAACAGTTCCAAGCCAAACGCCAAGAGATCATTGATTTGACAAAGAAGCATCTTTTTCAAGCCCAAGAACGTCAGAAGAAGTACTATGACAAGAAGCGATCATCGATCACGTTCAAAGAAGGAGACTTAGTCATGCTGGATACACGTCGCATTCCTTCCGCCCATGTTACTCAACACATTGATGGGAAACGAGCTAAGCTCGCTGCTCGCAAGATGGGACCATTCGAGATTGTGAAAATGATCAACCCAAATGTGGCCAAGCTGAATCTTCCGCGAAGCATGAGTCGTCTGAACTCCACGTTCAATGTGGACGTGTTGAGTCATTACGTTGAAAAACCGTCGCGTTTTAAGACTCGTCCTATCCCAAAGGCCTCAAGACTGATTATTGACGACGACACTGGCGCAACGATGCACATCATCGAAAAGCTTCTTCGCAAGCGTCAATTTAATCGCAAACCTGAATGACTTGTGAAATGGCACGGATTGCCAGATCACGAAGCAACCTCGAAAAAGACATCCGCCATGTGTCGCAGTGGAAGGTTCTCGTTTCCGACTTCAACAAGCGTCAACGAGAAGTCAAGTCCGGGAGCATGTAACGACGCACCAACGTCACAGCCAGCGATGGCCATGACGTTGGTACCAATGCGTCCTACTTTCCTCTAATTTCTTCCTACTTGTCTTTGCTGACTGCCAACTGTCTTCTTAAGTTGCCAATGAGCGGCCAGGCAGACACACGCCTGATCGGAAGGCAATCACCATGTTTGGACGAGTATTGCCAAACATGGAACTTCAATGACAGTCATTCTTTTTCATTTGAATTCACTATGGAGATTCTGACCCGGTTCAAATGAACCGCGGTTCACTACTACGCTACGCTACTTCAAGATTCGACTCAAGGACAACTTAGAATCTAGTATAGTGAAATGCATATACTTACATAGGATACCAAGGGAATGCTAACAAGCATTTCCTCGTAGCCGACAAACAGCTAACCATTTCAATCTCACTTTCCAATTTACCTTCTTCGAGGCACATCAACTGCCTCCTACGCCTTACCTTCGAGTCCCCATCGTTGGACTCTCGCCGCCCTCCTCCGCTTCGCTCCTCGCCACGCGACTCGTTCCTCGTCGCTGTTCCTCTGCGCCGTGCTCTCACCAGTCGTCACATTGGGACAGCAAATATTATACGAGCAACCGTGGGGAGAAACTGGTAGCTGCTGCTCGTTTGGCGACTCCAAAACGTAAGGATGTGCTCAGCTCCATTTTTGTCGTCGCTATTCATTGCAACAGGTTCTGAAATTCATCGTTCTAACTCTTCTTCCACAAGAGCTTCCTGAACATCTCTGGAGGCTGTCTGAGGGGCTGCTTCGTTGTGCTCAAAGAAGTCTATGAGATCTTCAGAGAAGATTACAGGTGGTTCATTCGCAGCCGGCGCTGGTGTCTTATCAATTTCTGGAGCGGGTACAGCAGACATCATTAGATATTTAAGTCGATCTAGAATTGTTTTTTTTACGAAGGTAACCATTCGGGAGACTTCATCCTCTTGTAGTCGTTTTTCCGGATTAGCAGGATCAATTATTAGCTGTTGGTTGCACAAGCGAATGACCGAAGAGAGGATGCCATCAGGATTCTTCAACTTCGGGTGCAGTAATAACTGCGGGTCGAAGATATATGAAGTCTTTCGTACCTTAGTACGTTTTGTATAGCGAGAGAAAAAGCGTTCATGGAAGGCATCACCGAGAAGTTGTCGAGTCTTCGTTACAACAGGTGTCAACTCCACTACAGCAAAATAACGTGGTGGTTTAAGATGCTTGGTGCGGTAATCCATGAGAGCAACAGATGTATCAAGTACTTGTTGTCGGATTCTGAACAGTGTGAGAAGAACTTGGATTTGGTTTACAGATTCGCTTTGGGCTCTCTTGTTGAGTACTGTTATAGGTTCAAGGAGACACACCAGCTGAATCAAATTCAGCTTATCAGTAGCTAGCGGAAAACCTTTCGGGCCCGCAGTGCTTTGGCGATACGTTCATCGAACCAGACCACCAGTTGATCCCACTTCTCTAGTATTCTCAAGATAACTTTAGTTAGACCCATAAACCGATGTGGCTTGAATTCTACAAGCGTTCGCGACTTGCCTTTCCCTGTCATCTCGCACAATTCCGCAAATAGTGTCCCCATAACTTCCACGTGACGCACCTGAAATACCGTTCAACCAATTCGCAACACCAGCTCTGTCATTGATTTATTCTTCGACTTAGTTTTATCATTTACGATTCCACAAGCAGCTTTAGTTGCAGCATTCGTCATGTGTGGAATGCACCATTCCCATTGAAGTTTCAAACCTTCCGTTAGCATCCACTCCACGTCGGCTCCGGCGTCACTCGTGCCTCCGCAAACGCTGTTGATTGAAAGACCAAAATCAAAAAGAATCTGATCTATCCACCGTTTGAATGGCCCACGAATGCCACCATTGCGCTCACCATACGAAGGGCAAAAGTGTCGTGTTCCAAGCAGAAACGACCGGAAGCGCCACTGGTTATTGATGAAATAAATCCGCAATCCAAGATATTTTTCTCCTTGTGTTTTTGAGGACCACATATCCACTACAAGAGTTAGACACTTGATGTTTGGCAAGATATTTTCGAGGATGAATTTCATCATCTCACTCTTGGCGGACGCATACAGCTCAACAATTGCGTGTGTCACCGCTTGAGCGTTGATGGTCGTGCGATAACGCTCATCAGTGACAAGCTCATTCAGCAATCTCGACTCTTCGTAATCTCCCAGTCTGAACGTTAAGTTATTGAACACAATGCGCATGGTTTTTAGAAGAAGGCACACTCGGGCAGCATCATGTGTTGTGACAACAGCCTGGCGAAGCCTGTCAACCTCGTCGTCCCGAGTTCGCTTGCGTGCTGATTGAAGTACCGTTTTATCGGAATTAATGCAGTGAACTTCTTTTAGATGTTTTGTAGCTTTCGACGTCTTACCGTAAAGCTGTATAATTTGATGGTGTTCGCGACAGCTTTCACTTCCGAGACAAATCCATCCCGTGCACGCTTTCCCATCGAGCTCGGCTGCCACTCTAACGCCCCACTGAAAAATTATTGACCGCTCTCCAGCCTTTGGGGGACCAATGTGAACCCAGGTAATGGTTGGAAGCTCTTTATTGCGTCTTGTACGGCAACAGGGACACTGGTTTGGTTTGGGTTTACTGCGGGGGGCTGACGAAGCATCTCCACTGGCCAACTAAGATCTCGAGATACATCGCCTAGTATAGGAGTGCTTTCCGGCTCTTGAAAGTTGTCTTCACCTTGGTCGACATGCCCGGGAGGAGGGCGAAATAACGACGAGGACTGTTGGGTGGACCGGTGTGCCTGTGATGCATCCACGCTACGATGATGGGCTGGTAAATGATTAGAGGCTGTCATTATTCCGAATGATGGCGGTGTTGCAGGTGGGGTAGTTGATTCCGGCTGAAGCAGTCGGCGACGGCTCTGGTCATGCTCACTGTCACTATCAGTACGAGTGAACCAGGATCTCATGCAGATAAATCACTAATAAAAGGCATTGTCCTTGGCAGGGTGTTAGCGACAGGAGCAGTTTGAAAAGTGAAATGAAATCTCCAGTGTCAAATCAAATTTGAGAATTACTTCTTATCAGCAAGGGAAAACAGCTGTAGGCATATGTCGAAGCAGCAAAGCGTGTCGTACGTCGGCTTTCCACCTACGGTCGCACGTTGGCGTCATTTTGAGTAGTGCGGCTTTCCCAGAAGGCAGTCTCTAGCAGCGGTTACTTATTTCTGTCCAATAAAAAAGCGAAATTCGTCCAGGAAAGTACTGTCAGAAATGAAAATGTGAGCCTGAGATCATCCGTTTCACTTTTGGGTTAACATAAAATTATGAAACGAAGCATGAGCCTCGATTACTGGAATTACTGGGTATACCCAAAGATTAAAACTTACGATCTGAGTAACCGTCGGTAGCTAGTTCTATACCGGTAAGTTCATTTAAGCAGAGTTTTTGGAATTATTTTCCCGCCGAAGTTAAGCAAACATCTAGAACAAAACCTATATTACCGCGGCGCTCGGCTAGTTATATATGAAAGTTTGTATCTCGTCAGTGCGTAATAAAAATTTAGATTTCCTTTGCCTTTGAAGCCTTGTTAAAACAGCAAAGACATGTCTAAAAGTGACGTAACGGAATTCAAAATTAATATTACTAGCTCCCGATTGGCTAGCTACCACTACTTTCTTTCCACTATCACAAATTTCGTTGTCACAGTCGATTTTGCATTATCTTTGTCTAACCACAAGAGGCGAATTCGAAAATCTACAGGACGCAAACGATGGACACAGAGGGCTTCACGTCGCGCGCGTGGCTAGGCCATTGGGTCTCGGGTGAGGAGCAACCCGTGAACAATTACTACGAAGACCACAAGCTTATGGAAGGAGCGCTCATTAAGCTGGGCGACTATGCGCACTTCCGCTACTTTTTGCTGTTCCGCAACGGCCGCTTCTGCTACTACGAGCTACCGGTGCCGGCAGCAGCGCCCGGTGGTGAATCTGAGGGCCCCAGACGTGTGCACCTGACGCTCACGTCCAAACACTTGCGTGGTGTCATGATGCTCAATGCGTCGGTAAACGCCAAGGATTTGTCTAAGAGCGAGGACGAGTACGACGCCGATCTCATCAAGCGCGGGCTTGTGTTTAACCGCAAGAAGCTTGAGATGCAACTTACGGGATATTCGCCCACCGGTCAGCTCATGTGCTGGAAGCTGCGAGCGGGCAAGGACGCTGTCTACCTTAAGTGGGAACGCGCCTTCCGACTGGCCCTGCGTCCCATTTGGGTGCAGAACTCCAAGTGCTGCATGGTCTGCAAGAAGGAGTTTAGCTTTTTCATCCGTCCGCACCACTGCCGGTACGCTATGCTAAATGGTTTTTAAAGAGAGGCGTTTTCAACGTGCTGATTATCTTTGCAGCAAGTGTGGAACGTGCATGTGTGATGAATGCTCCGTGTTCGTCCCTCGTTTGCCCATACAGGGATACTACGACGAAGTGCGCATCTGTCGAGACTGCTCACCGATTAAGATCCAGCGATCGTCGCTGAAAATGGGCACGCGCGTGTTAGTGTACGGGATTTTGGTGGGCAGAGTGGTGCAAGTTGATGCTGCGGATGACTCAGTGGACGGGAGTGCATTCGTGAATGTGGAATTAGTGAAGAAAAACAACCAGCTACGTCGATTCGCGCTAGAGCACGTGGAACTGTACTCCGACGCGGTATTGTCGGCTAATCGCATCAAGAACGCCATTCGCCAGCATTTATCGTATGCTGTGTTTCGCACACAACTCAACTTCAACACGTGGAACCTGCTGGAGACTGTTCAAGAGCAACGCACAGTGCAGATGGTACGAATACTCAACAAATCGACGAGTATCAACGAGCTGCAATCGATGGTGCCGATGCTCGGTTCTTTGGACACGATGCAGTTCCCAGACGACGACGTCTCTGAAAAAGACCGCGTCAAGGAGTCACTCTCGCACTATCGCGGTGTACATGTGTCGTTCCCGTTGCGGTTGGACACTGTGAAGAAGCTGATCAATCAGTTTCGCAACGGGATTCTGCTCCATCGCGTTTTCGTGCGCCAGATTCTGGACGAGTCAGAGAAGCTGTTTCGAAAGATGCACGCTTCGCCAATGAACGAGATCGAGATTTCTAAGGGCGTGCAGTTGGTCGTAGTGGGAGATCTCCATGGGCAATTGGAGGATTTACTTACGATCATGGACAAGAATGGTGTCCCAAACAGCAAGACGTGGTTCCTCTTTAACGGCGACTTTGTGGATCGAGGATCACATGGGATCGAGGTCATTCTACTGCTGCTAATTTTCAAGCTGCTGTATCCCGACTATGTATTCTTGAACCGCGGCAACCACGAAGAACGAATGATCAATGAGGTCTTTGGGTTTGAAGACGAAGTATATACAAAGTACGGCACCGACATCGACGAGGTAGCGGGATGGAGTGGTTTGGGTACATCGATGAACTACTCGCCGATGAAGTTGTTCCAAATGTTTGAGACAGTTTTCGGTCTGTTCCCGATTTTCGCGCTACTTAATAAACGTGTCTTCATTGTGCACGGTGGTCTGAGTAACCACGAGGATATCACGATTGAGGAGCTGCTACAGCTTGACCACAGACGTGAAATTCCGACGCAAGGGACGAGTCGAGCCGACGAGGTGTTTACACATCTCTTATGGAGCGATCCGCGCGACGAGGATGGGTGGAAGCCGTCTAGCCGAGGTGCTGGCGTGGAGTTCGGTCCTGATATCACGAAAGCATTTTGCTATCGGAATGGAATAAGCCTCATTATTCGATCACACGAATGCCGAGAAGAAGGTTTCGACATTGTTCATGATGGATTACTTCTGACAGTATTTTCGGCGTCGAGCTACTGTGGTTCGCAGACGAATAAAGGCGCCTACGTTCAGTTGGAGTTGGGAGAAGACAACAAAGTGAAGCCGCATGTGGTGCAATTTTCTTCGCAACCGCTTCAAAAGTTGAAGGATGCGGGGCGAAATGAGTGGCGAAAGAAAGCTCAACGATTGGAGCGCAGAACGCTGATGTCCCTTGTGGAGATTATTTGCGAAAAGAAGCATGTCTTGCTATCTGCCTTTAACGAGCTCGATGCTAATGGGTTTGGACGCGTCACGAAGCTCGAGTGGAAGGCAACTTTACATAAGGTACTGGGCATAGAGGCGAGCTTTCTCTCGTACTTCCATCAACTCGCTGAGGAAGAGCAGGATGGCAGAGTCGACTACCAGAAATTTCTTAATCGGTACACTGTCGAACTGGACGGTGGCAATGTGGAGTGGAGACGCAGTCTCATCCGCAAGGTGTGGAAGGGATTCTGTCAAGCGCTTCCACGTCCCTCGGAAACGGATGCGGAGAAAATGACGCTGCAGGACAAGCTTCATTTCGCGTTCAATCTCTTCCAGCCCTCTCACCCTGGGGCTGCTAAAAAGGAACTGGCTTTGACATCTCTTTCAAAGACCGATGAAAACGGACCACCAAGTACTCCCGCTTATGGTGATAAACCAAAGGAAGATTACACGTGTAGTAATCTGGTCACGTACGAGGTGTTCCGGAACACTATTCAAGGCAAACTGCAGCTGGGTGATACTCTTTCCGAGCAACAAATCTTTGAGCTCATGCAGTACCTTGATCAGAACCACGACGGTGTGGTTGACTACCAGGAGTTTTGCTCATTCTTTGCCGAGTTCAGTCGCATGGACTATTTGCAAGAAATCTTTGAGGTGGACGACACGAAGGCTATTTCGCTGCTGAATCGTTGCGCCACACTTCTGCAGAGTCCCAACAAATTCACATCGCTGCGAGAAGCGTTCGATGTGTTTGACCACAGGAAGACAGGAAAACTGACCGTGGAGGACATTATGAAGGGAGCCCAGGAGTTGAACATGATGCCGGAGCTAGACAATGACGAAGCGCAGCTGCTCTTTAACTCGATCTTGCTCAGCTATTATGGCATTAATCAGCGCCATCAATGGGATTCGCTGGGCTTGGACTGGGTCGTGTTCGAGGACACATTCTCACCTGACAGCACCTTCCAGCGGCGTCTGTGGCTGACGAGTCTCGGAGCTTCAAACACGAATCTAGCAGCGCTCGACATTGCGGACGATGATGTGGCTCAAGAAGGACAGTCCTCAAAGAATCAGGCGTGGGCAGACACGTTCGTTGACAGCGTGAAACAGTCACTGCATGAGCAGCGCTTGTACATCAAGCTCTTGTTCCGGATCCTGGACCGGAAGCGGCACGGATACGTCTCCAAGCAGCAGTTCGTCGCCACCATCCAGGCCATCAACGAGGAGCACGGCGTGCCGCTAAAGCTATCACAGCTCGAGCAGTTGGCCGACGCCTTTGAACATCGTAAGGCAGTGCGGCGCATGTCGAATGCGGGGGACGATACAGAGGAGACACGAACATTCGTTTCCTACCCTGAGTTCCTGCGCAGTCTGCGTATCATCGACTTGGGGCCGACAGACGGCACTGCCACTTCATTGGAGTTGCAAGAGGCTACACACACGAGCAGCGGAGAGAACCGGTAGCAAGCAGCGTACATTTACTAGCATTGATATATACACTAGCCGAGCGCCGCCGCTACGCGTCAGTTGTTTAGTTTGCATTCTAGTTGTTTGCCCGCTTGCTTTGGCGAGAAATTTGTTCCTGGAAATGTGCCTAAATCGACTTCTTTAATTTCATAAATCTGGGTTTAATTTAGACCAGTCGCTGTAAGCTGAAATTATTTCTACAAAAGGCTGAGCTCTAATATCATGCTTAAAAAAATTATTCTAGTATCACAAGTCTTCGTAACGCCTGCTTGCCGGCGGATCGTCAGCCACAGTGCTGCGCTGGTCGTCGTCCAGTTCCGTATGTAGACGTCTATAAACACCCGTACGGGCCACCGCAAAGTAGCCGGAACCTTCGCTCCTTTTTATTGACAACTAATCTATGTCGAACTTCTACTAGCAGCTAACTGCGTGGTTCTCACCGTCCGACTCGTTCTTCGTTCTTCGCTCCTCGTTCGAGTCGCCACCACCGTTCGTGCAATCTGTTGACAAGCTGCTCAGATCCCACGCCAACACTCTCGCTCACTCCGAGACCCACACATGTCCCGTAGTGGCTCGTTCGTGCTCGCGCCGCCGTGAGCCTCCACCCGTCGCCATCTTGTTTGTGACGGGGTCACACAGCACCTTGCGCTAGAGGAAGTTATCTTCCGAGAGAATACAAACTCTCAGTGAACGGCAGCTCACAGGTCCCCTCTTTAGTTAAAGAGAGCGAAGTGACCTAAATAAGGTAGATTGTAAACTGAGTATATTTATAGGTAGGTTAAGTTTGGGTTTAATACAAACTATAAGTTACCTATAGAAATGCAATGTCGTTTGACCAATGGTTGGCTTTGAACGACCTTAATACCTTGTACCAAATATCCCGGAGTATGACGTGTCATACACCTGAAGTGTAAAGTGTCACACTTCATGTAACCAGGGTACACTTAGGGCTACGTACCCCGTTACATCCTCCCCCACTTAGGTTCGGTTTACCGACCAATCAGAGTGAAGAGGTGTTCGTCACAAACTCTTATTCTCAAAGTCGAAAACCATCGACTTGGCCGCGCGAGCGCGGCGGAGGCTCACTTCACAGTTAGAGCCTCGAGCAGCAACCTGTGCGCTCTTCGTCTAGGTCACCAATTCGACCGATACCATGCCTCGTGGCACTGCAAAGAGCGGTGCTAAGACACGCTCCAAGGCTGCTGCCGGTAAGGCGCAAGGCAAGAGCACTAAGCCTCACGGCAAAGGCTCGGCACTCAAGGAGGCTACTCAGGTGGCCTCCGAGGCGATCGGTTCCTCGGGTGACGCGGCTGTGGACAAGCGAGCAAGCAAGCGCCGCAGTCCGTCGCCCTCTCCTTCAGACAATCGTCCGAACCCTCGGTTCGTGGAACGTGAGTTCAACTCGGGCAGTGAGGACGATGCCGAGTCCGAGAGCACGCACGATGCTCCTGCGGGCTCTGTGGGAGGGCACAGCCCAGTGCCCAGTGAGCACAAAGATGTCAGCGTGCAGTCGCTCGCTAGTGATCAAGGCGATCACAGTCCCAGAACGTCTGTGCGCTCCGAGAGTCCGGCCGCCAAGGCTAAGGGCGCTCCCAAAGCCGGTGGCGATGAGGAAGAGAATCCTCGCAAACGTCTCTCGCTTGCCGAGGGTCTTGCGCGTGCTAAGGCCTCTAAAGCCGAAGGCGCCAAGCCCTCAAAGAAGCGTACAGCCTCTAAGTCTCCACTCCTCGAGGAGAAGGAGAGTCGACGCTCCTATCAGAGTATCTCCGACTCCTCGAATAAAGAGGAGGAGAAGGAGGAAGAAGAGGAGGAGGAGGGTGCTATCGTTGAGCCCCGGGAGGTCTCGAATGACCTCGACCAGGAAGCTGCCCAGCGTGTGCGTGGGGGTTCGGTGGCGGCACCCGTCAGCCAGGGAGCTGCCATCAACTCAAGAGGGTATTGGCCTCCTGAGGAGAGCTCTGGGGCTGACCTCTTCTTAGAGGTCCTCGTCGCTCCTCGTGGCCTTGTGGGCGGCCACACTTCTAGGGGCATCTATGAACGAGTCCTTGTTCAGAAAGAACAGTTGTTCGTTGACAACTTGGAGGCTGCTCGGTGTGTGCTTCTCGCGCCACACCGCATTCCCCTTAAGGACTTCACGACTTGTCGTAAGAAGCCCGAGACCCGGGGTGGTCTCTATCCTCTTTGGGGATACCTCTGGGTTATGCCCGAGAGCTGTTCCTCGTGGAGTTCTTGTGAGGACATGTTCTGGGCATGGATGGGGACTCTTAAGTACTCACCCACGGAGTTACGCGAACTCCATGAAGATCAGCTGCTGTCCCGTATCCTGGACCAGCGTGATCTTCGTGTGACGTTTGCCCACTTGATCAGCAAGCGCATGCTGCCAAGGGACATCCTGAAGCGCGCGGCTTCTAGCGCTCACGATGAGCGCGGGTACGGAATGTATTCATCGTCCGTACCCCGTTCGGGCAAGAAGCCCCGGACTACTTATGAAGCTTCCACCGCTTCTGTTCCCAGATTGCGACAGCCTTCGGGCAGTCAATCAGGAGCCGTTCAATCGGCTCCCACGAGTTCTCGGAGTGGGCATAACCCCTCCACTTCACGAGGAGCTGTCGCTTACCGCGACGCCGTTGCTCCTGGAGGATCCGCTCCACGTGGAAGTGGACTTCTCCATTCCGGTCAAGCAGGGGCGGAGGTGCCCTCGTACGAGTACGAGTACTCGGCGCCTCCCGAAAGCCACTCTCGTCCGAGTGCTCCGACTGCGGGTCCGACACAGGGCTCTGAGGTTGACCGCCTCCGTCAACGGGTCCTCGTGCTTGAGATTGCACTTGGCCTTGGGACTGGCGGCGATGCTGCCGCCCAGGCCGGGAAACAGGGCGATCTCGCTCGTCTTGCGGGCCGCCTGGACCTGTCGGAGCGAGAGGTCGCGAGCCTGCACCTGCGGGTGGATCGCCGGGCCTCTTCGTCCGATCTGGATGAGGCCTTTCGCATGATCCGACGGATCGAGGCTTTGTTGCCACGTCCGGAGCCCCCTGCGGCACACTCTCAGACGTACGCGTATGGTGCGTACCCGGCGTACTCAGCGTACTCGGCGTATGGCGCCGGGGTTCGTTCGTATGGAGCCCCTCCGGCGTACGGTCTTGACCGCAGCCTTGCCGTTCCGACCGAGACTTGGGTGCCTGCTCCGACGTCCTCGTCGACGACTGCGACCGGCCCTCGCTTTGAGGAGCTAGGTCAAGGGGGGTCTGCGAGTCAGCAACCCCCTGCGGGTCAAAGTACCGCTTAAGACGTCTGACATAGAACGTCGGGTGCGTCGTCATTGACTTTGGAAGGTCGATGGTGTACGACGCACCATGTCTGGCCAGGACTGCAAAAGGTCCGATGAAGCGGTGCTTCAGCTTGTTGCTGCCGACAGAGCTGACAGTGTCAAGAGGTAGGTTCCTCGTGTCTAGCAACACTAAGTCCCCAACCTCAAATATACTTAAGTTTCCTCTTCCATGTTTGTCTGAGTACTCCTTTTGTTTATCTTGGGCCGCTGCCATGGCATCGCGGACCCTGCTGACAATACTCAGCCTGGTATCCATAAAGGATTCCACCTGTTTCCGCAGCGAAAACTGGTCTCATATCCGAGACCTGGGAGGAAAGGGCTTTTTCGAGCCTCTCCCCCACTTAGAATAGAAAAGTCAGTGTCTCCTCGAAGAGTGAGAGGCACTCTGGGGTGGCGGAAGCCGTTCAAGTAGAACGGCGTGGACCCCGTGGACGCGTGCACCGCGTTGTTAAGCGCAAACTCAACAACTGGAAGCTGCGTCGATCACGTACGTGGTGCGTGATCGACGGAGCTGCCGCGCACACACTGCGCAGAGTGTTCTCAAGCACTCGATTGACACGCTCTGTTTGGCCGTCTGTCTGCGGATGGTCCGCAGTGGACATCTGCAGACGAGTTCCCAGTAAAGGGAACAGCGTTTTCCAAAACGCAGCAGTGAACCGCGGGTCTCGGTCCGAGACAATCGTCTCCGGGGAGACCGTGATAGCGGAACACGCCATCGACGAACAACCTTGCGGTTTGTTCGCCCGTAACAGTGACGGGAACTGGAGCAAGATGGACCATCTTGCTCAGCCGACACACGAACACCAAAATTCCGGTGTTGCCGTGTCCGTCGGCGGGAAGCCCAAAGATGAAGTCAAGACTCTTCGACTTCCAACAATCAGCCGGTACGGGTAGGCTCTGTAGTGGAGCCGAAGAGTGCCCTGCGGGTTTGACCCGCTGACATGTTTCACATGTCTTGACGTACCGGGCGACCCACTTGTACATGTGGGTCCACCAGAAGGACTGAGAGACCGACAGAAAGGTCTTCTCGCGGCCCAAGTGGCCGCTGGAGGGCGCGTCATGTGCCTCCGCGAGGATGTCGAACTTCAGATCCTCGTCGCTGGGTACGACCACCCGTGGAGGATCAGTGGGCTCCACCCGATAATAGAGGAGGCCCTCCTTCAACTCATATCGGTGGAGCCGTGAGCGCTGTCGCGACGAGAGCCAGTCGGACTTCGCGCTCGTTCCGGCCATAAGGAACTTGACGATAGGCGCGACAGCCTCATCGTCCCGATACGCCATGCGTATCCGATCATATAGATCCGTTGTCACCCGCATGATGTGGGCCAACTCATAGTCGGGACGCCGAGAGAGGGCGTCCGCAAGCACGTTGAGCTTGCCCGGCTTGTATTCGACGCGGAATTTATATTCCGCGAAGAAGGACAGCCACCTCGCCATCCTTTGGGAGAGGTGAGGCGAGTTAGTCGCCGTTCTCAAGGACGCGTGGTCTGTGTAGATCACGAAGGGCCGGGAGCCCAGAAGGTGAGCACGAAACTTCACAAGGGCATATTTCATTGCCAGGAGCTCCTTGTCGTGGACAGGGTAGTTCCGCTCGGCGGCTTTGAGCTGCCTGGACTGGAACGAGATGACTCGTTCGTGTCCAGCCGTGTCGGCCTGCAGCAATGCACATCCG